CTTACGAGGAAATGTTTTCCACGGCTTTACGAGGAAAACTTTCCTCGTAAATTAGCTAGGCCTTTACGAGGAAAATAGCCTTTACGATGAACGTCTTTCGACGAAACACGTTTCCTCGCTATTTCCTAGTAAAGGGCCCTTTACTAGGAAATAACGAGGAAAACCCGTCCTAGTAAAGGACGTGTTTTCTTGTAGTGTCGTATGGTGTCGCATCCAATTATTTAAAATGATAAACCATCCGATCGAGCTTTTCACCAGATAATCTGTAACGGATTGTTTGTGTGAAACCAAAGTTATTGAAAGATTATATTATGATCAGATCCTAAAATCATTTGCCAGCTGTGCTAATCTATTCAGATGTGATCGATATTTACTTACATACGTAATATGTCCCACGTACATGCATACGCAACTTTATGGAATATATTTAGCTAGATAGCATGTGAGATCATGGGGGTAGTACCGTAGTCATATGTTTTATATGGTTGTATTAGAATTTTGGTGAAGCGCACATGTTTACGTTGGTGGATAATGGATAGGTCAACTCCTAAATTCTCTGTTTTCTATCGTTTGATTACTAAACACCGTCATAACGAATAGATTGACCCGCGTTAATCGCATTTAAATGTATTTTAAACTATGATCTTAAAGGTTAGAAGTAATAAGATTTCATGTGTTACAAAAAAAAAAAAACATTTCGTTCAAATATGGATATTTAATTTTTACCAGTTACAACCATTTGTGCCAAAACCTTATGAAAAATTCTGACGTTCCCATTAAACACAGCGTGGTGGACATTAATTTATACCTTTTTACTATAACTAATACCGTTGCTTGTGAAATGTGCCTAATAATAACGTGTACGTATTACACTTAACTCTGAACAACATAATTGATTTTTTTTTAATATATAAATATATATATATATTAATTCAACCCGAAAGACGGGAATCCAGTTTAAGTTACAAGCTCGATTTGAACAAAAGTCCTTAAGTCAAACTATTACATTCTAGTTTCGCACATCCACTAAACCGGCACTTTCCACTAGTCCGATTTTTGAAATCCTTAGGAATCGGTTGCTGTTCTCAACCATTGACGATGACCACGGGAAGGTGAGGTTGAACAACATAATTGATAGTCAATGAAACATCCGCAAATGATTCTGTACATCATATTTCATTGAACATCTGAAAACTGGTGCATCAAAAGCTCATTTTCCTCTATGATCTTATATGGTTATGGGAAAGAAACGATACGTACCAAAAAAAAGTGTTACAAATGGATGCATAAAATTTGTACAGATGAATTAATTAAACGTTATAGTTTCATGAAATTTGAAAGATTGAGAGCTATTATAAACTTACAATCTATCTAGTTTCTTCTTTGTGAATATTGATCATAGTTCCAAAGGTACTCTATGAAACAATAGAAAATTTGAAGAGCATGGTGTGCTTGTATGTTTTTCCTGGTTCAACAATCTGTGAAGGAAACTTCGGATTATTTACTGAGTTTGGATAACTTTGTGTCTCTAGACATAGTCCCGCGAAAGCTTGGTAAGTTGTCCCATTCTTTCCCTTGATGTCCTTTAACATTCCACCGGTATAGAATTGCAAACCGGGTTGGTTTCCGGATAACTCCAATTTTCTCCCAGATTTCTTATCTACGAGTTCTACAATTTTCCTCATCTTATCAGCTTTACCATCTAAGCAATAGTTTATATCATATCTGCAAGAAAAGAAAAAAAAATCAATAAATACAAATATAACATAGCCGGTTTAGAACAAAACGCAATAAAAACATTAGTCTTAACCACCAATCTCTAAAGAGATATTAGTCATGTTTTATAGCATCCACAAACCTTAATTTTTTTAATAATTAAGATTCATCATAAAATGTTTTTAGTCTCCAAAATCTTGGCTCTGACATTAGACGTGGATTATATGTAAATCTACCTAAGGTTATGTTTTCTAAAGAGATATTAGTCATGTTTTATAGCATCCACAAACCTTAATTTTTTTAATAATTAAGATTCATCATAAAATGTTTTTAGTCTCCAAAATCTTGGCTCTGACATTAGACGTGGATTATATGTAAATCTACCTAAGGTTATGTTTTCGCATAGTATATATATGTACTCACCCTGTTTTAAGATCCTTCATATTATCTTTAATAGAACGGAGTTGGAGAAAATCGTATGATGTTCCTTTCACCGGAGATATTTCTCCTGTGGGAATGAGTTCACCGTCGACGGGAGTGTAACTTGACCCGAGGATCTGAATTTCTTCAGACAAGATGTCTCCGGCGTTATGACCACCAAGATTCCAATATGTATGATGAGCTAAGTTAATCGGAGTTGCTTTATCTTTTGGCTTTGCCTCCATCACCACACTCAATTCATTTTCTTTGTCAAGTTTATAAGTCACCGTGACATTGACTTCTCCGGGAAACCCTATGATACATAAAGATATAAACTAGTAATCTTTAAATGTATGTTCTCAAAGCCTAGGCGTGAGAAAAAAAAACAACTGAAAAGAAACAAGACCTTGATCTCCATCAGGACTTGTGTAAGTGAATACAATATGAGGTTTCTTGCCATCATACTTATGTTTTTTAACTTCCCACACAACATCGCCAAACCCTTTCTTCCCACCTAAATTAAACAAAACGGTTAACTAATTATACTCTAAGAATCGTAATTAAATTAACTAATTACTAGATTTTGACCCGCGCTTCGAAAGCGCGGGTTTTTGTTAGATTATAAATAAATTTTGATATGATTTAGTATTTTAGAATTGATGTACATTATTATGCTACAAATCTTATTATATAAAATAGATTTTTTTGAAAAATTATGTAATTTATAAATTAGTTTATTTGAGATTTTATATGTAAGTTTTTAATGTAACTC